CCTTCCCCTCCCTCCTGTCCCCTTCATTGCTGAGGCGTTCGGGATGCCGCGGTGGCCTTCCCAGCGGTCGCGTTATGCGGCAGGCTACGCAGGCGGTCCAGGCTAGGGGCGTGCCACCGAGTGGTCCTTCTTGCCGCAGAGAAAGCACTCCATACGACGGTGTTCTCCGTTCCGGTAGGATCTTGGGACCTCGGTCAGCTATACTCAATAGAAAAGTGACTCAGCTCGTTGCACCTATTGTATCGCCCTTGTCCTCGCGGGCAGGTTTCGCGACCACATCCCATTCGTCCACAGCGACCACATACAGCTTCTCCTTCTGTCGTACGGGTGTCAGGGCCGAGTCTGATCCTCAGCGGGCCTAAGTTCGACGGGGCGTTCCCAGGAGTCGAAGCGTTCTGAGGCGACGAGGTGTTCCCAACCGGAGTCGGAATGCCTTGAACAGGAGGAACCGGAGGCACTACCGCACGAATGTATCCCGGCTGCTCTCCAGCGTCCTGTAGCTGTTTCTGCATGGACTGATTCATTAGCTGCAGCTGCTGTAACATCTACGACTGCGTCGAGTTCGCGTTACTAGAGCGGGTCACAGGCGCTCCATCGTCCGCAAACTCGTTTTCTTCCTCGACTGGCATATGCAGATTCTGTAAATCAGCAGGTCACAGGCTTCTCGGATCGTCGCAACCATGTTACCATTCAGCACCGCCTTCATCTGCTTGTTCCGCAGGCCAAACAGGAAGAACTCGTATCTCATGCGAGGCTCATGGTAGTTCAGGGCCTCGCACATGGTCGAGATGCGATCATCCCACTCTTCAGCCGACTCACCACGACTTCGCTTGGCGTTCTTGAGGCGGTTCCAAAGTTGGGCCGGCGTTTGGCAGATGAATCGGTTGTGGAACTTCGCTCAGAGGGTCTCAAAACTATCGATCCTCGCGTTATACCACCATTCCTGACCCACCTTACCTCTGAGGCATTGCTCGAACTCCGTCAATCTCATTTGGCTGTCCATCCCGTAGGTACACCTCTCAAAGGAGCGCCAAAAGCTGCCGCCCTCTCGTTCGTAGCCGTCTCCGAGTATAAAGGAACGATCACATTCACGGCGTTCCTCAACTCATTCGGAATACCCACGTAAGGAACGGCTCGTCGATGGTAATCGGAGCGTTCAGGAACGCCCTCGCATCGATACTCAGCACCTCGAGATCCGGAGCTTTTTTCAAGGACTTGGTTCCTCAGATACGACGGTGATGCTCCTCCTGCCGCTAGAGGCATCCCTAGCGAGGACAGATTCGGATACTCCTGAGCTGGTGTTACAGGAACTGCGGGCCAAGCGGGTAGCGTTCCATCCTGGTCCACCCGGCATTAGGTTAAGTCATCGACTCTTACGGAGAATAGAGCGCTCCCGCCCTAGGCGTTCCGCCTATCATCCCGTTCCTGTAAGGACTAATCCCCTTCGAAGGTACGCCTCGGTACGCAGGAACCGGTCCCAAATGCATCCCCACCGACATCGAAGTCTTCGCAGGTGTCGGAGCTCGAGGAATCGGAGGTATCTGGTACTCAATTCGATGCGCGCTCGAAGGTCGTTCCAACTCCGTACGCTCCAGTCTGGCCGACCCAGGCGGGTAGCGTGCATCTAGTCCCGTCGTCCGTGAGCGTGGCGTTCCAGCGCTAGACTCACGAGACAACGTCAGTTTCCTGAGTACTTGATAGACCGACTCTTCCACCAGCGCTTGCAGCCTCGAGTCGGTGGAAGGCGTTCCAGACCGGACGGACGCTGCTATCGAGCGAGCCGGGGTCGACACAGATCTGGCAGGTGTCGACGCAGACTTTGCAGGTGTGGTCATGGACCTCACCGAGGCAGTCGTTGATCGGGCCGGCGTCGCCACTGATCGGGCAGGCGCTCCTCCTGATCGGGCCGGCGTGGACATCGACCTCGCAGGCGTACTCATCGATCGAGCGGTCGTAGCCACTCGGTCATCAGGTCGTCCCGAACGGTACGTAGTCGTTCCCGGTGTCGTCCTTCCCCTTGCAACCCTTGCTTCCGTGCTCGCGTTCGTCGGGGTGGTTGCCTCCCTGGCGCTTCCAGCATCCCTGAGGGGTGTCCGCGAGGGGCGTGACGGGTCGAAAGAGAACGCCACTTCTCGGGGCGTTCCCGACATGAGTGCTCTCAGCTTCTCACTCTGTCCGGGACTCCGAGCTAATTGCTCCAAGATGACTTCCAACCGCTCTTGTTCCTCGCGCGTCTCGGGTTCTGACAGGAACTCTTTCATTATTCCCAGCAACTTGTCTCTCTCAGCGTCGTCCCGTTCTTCCGACTCGGCAGACCGAGGCGTTCCGACGACCGCGGGAACGTCTCCACTTCCTCTGACGCGGCCCTCTTCTCGTTCGCCACCACCGGCAGTACTAGGCGCGCACTTGTCCTCCTCGTAGATCTCGGATTGGAACAGCGACTCGGGCAGAAGTGGAGACGTCTATCTGCCACCTTCTTCCCTTGTCTCACTGCCGTTTCACTCACCGGACCAACCGTGGGCGCTCATGGCGTTCCCACTTCCTTTTTCCTCCCTCTTCGGCGTTCCGTTGACAAAGGGGTGGCTCACTCCGCGTTTACGCTCCACGATTCTTCGGCGTGAAGATAGTCTGCTTCTCCACCAAATTGTCGCCGTAATCCTGGTTAGGTCGGGGTCGTGTATCTAGCAGGCCGATGTAGGAACTTAGGTTTATCACGTAATTGTGAAGTTGTTGCTGTATTCTTGAGCACTTCTCTTGTAAGAAGGAAAATCACGACTGAGCTTCTACCTAAAGCTCCCAGCTGAGCACTAGACTCCTTACTTGTCTGTAAATCGCTCCCACGTAGAGGTCCAACGCAAATTCTCACCCTTGTCGAAGGCAAGGCGTTCCACGCTAAGCTTGGAACGCCGCCGATTGGTCTGGAGGGCACAGTTGCTTGGACAGGGCCTGCGACTTCTGCAGCAAGCAGATCTTCCGAACGCAGTCCGAGAGAATGGCGAGTCCTCCTTCTATCTGTACATGCAGCTCTAGATCGATCACCAACCGAGCAACGCACTTCGTAGAATTAACCGTTCCTACATACACGAGGCATTCACCTAGTCCGCTACTGTAAGCTTGGGAACACGAACCAAACTACGCTATCGTGTGCCCGAGGAATTCCGTCAACAAAAATATAGAGTTTTCGCGCTCCTATTCCCCACATAAATGCATAATAAGTAAGTTCTTGAAGGGCCTAATTTATGGAAGAGAGTGATTCATTTGCCCGAATGGCCAACCGACTATTAATATACAGTTATACCCCCTAACAAGCATAAAAAGGACTTAACCGACGGTCTTGGCATCCGAAATTATTTTCTAATTCCAGACACAGTAAGCGAAGAGAGGGGCGGACCTAGGTCCGCAAACGGGCTAGTGTCCTACCTTTATTTCAATTTAACCAGTATATACTATCTAAAAGTCGATGCTATGTTACCTCAGTCGGGCAAAATAGCAAGTGCCTTTATGGCAACTTTCCAGTTAGAATGGCATTTGACAATTTCGATATGGGAAAGGCCTTGCGACAGCAATCTAATATAGTTTTGTTTCATTTCTTTTTTTAAAAGTTCTTGTATTCCTAACGGTACCGGTACACTGTTGCCAACCTTCAAAACTGCACGTTGAGCTATTAATACCTATTTGCGAGAATGGGCGGAGTGGTATGTGTAAAGACGAATGAATGATTGGACGGGGAGAGGGATATTTGCATTAACCGATAATTACTGAGTAATTGCTCGATATAGGATACGTGTTATAATACACGTAAGCAGCACAATACCAGGGATATGAGCAATGTACCATGTACAATAACATATGGACCTGCTTCGTATGCCATTCCACCCGACGTGGCACGTTTCCGCCGTTTTAGTCCAACGGATCAGAGCTGCAAGATTTATTTCTTCCCAGAATTCGAAAAAAGTTGTTCAAATTTATCGAAAAAGGTCGCTCAAGCTCCTCGAAAAAGGGCGTTAAAATTCTACTAACTTTCAACCGCCTTAAACTTGCTAAATGTTGTTCATCGGACTGTACATGTACTTAATGTATTATATAAGGTGCAGCGGGGCTGCCGTAGCTTTAGCGTCAGAGGAAGATGTTCGACTCAAAGAGTCACTAATACCAAGTTCCTTATCCAAAGGACACTTACAGCCCACGACCAGGGCTCAGCGCTAATACCTAAACTTTTATGCTTCAAAACCAGAAATGTTTTGTTTACTATTATTGCGTCCAAGCCGCCTAGGGTAAATGTATCTGTTTAACTATATAGCATTGTTAAAAGCATTGTTAAAGCTAATCAAATGCATAGCGTGTGGCTTTCAGCCAACGTACCAAGAGACCTTGTTAGCTCTCCAACTTATGTACTGAGAGTTGGTTAACTCTCCGGGTACTTCGTACTCCTGTGTGTTCCACACCAGGTAACCCCGTTAACCCCCCCCTCACTAAGATGAGAACATTCCGTTCTCGAAACTTTCCTTAGCGAGGTCACGTCTTGTTAAGACGGCAATAGTTACTACACCTCACGCCAGCGTTGTACAGCTCCGTGAGCTCACAAACGCCTACACATCGTTGATGCCCAACTTCTCGTCGTCGGTCCACGACCCAATGTTCCAAGCGCACCGCGCATCTTGCTCTCAAGCAGTCTCAGACCTACGCTATCGCCCCGCACCTACCTTAAGAGCTGCAAACCGCTTAGAGCTATGCTCTTGACTCATCCGAGTAGTCGCCAACAGCTCAGCGGTTTAAATCTCGCTTCACAAGCGATAGGTCGGTGGTTCGATCTCACCAGGGCATCACCCTCTCGTTCCATGTACGATTGTCCTCGCTTGGACAAGCTTAAGGGCAACACCCTTTTAGCTCAATGGCTGAGCGTTGGCATTGAGAGCCACAGGTCGGTGGTTCGAACCCACCAGGGCACAGCCCTCTCGCTCCATGAACTGTTGCCCTTGAATGGACAAGCGGAAGGGCAACATCCTGTAAGCTCTGTGGTCGAGCGATGACTTTGGAAGCCACAGGTCGGTGGTTCGATTCCACGTGGGCGCAACCCTCTCATACCATAAGTAGTCCGTACTCGGACAAACTTACAGGCATCGCTGTTATAGCTCGATGGTAGAGCTCCAGCCTGGAAAGCCAAAGGCCAGTGATTCGATCCGCGTCCGGGACACACCACTTTCGCTGTTACAGCGCATCCACATTTGGATCAAGCTCATCGAACAAGTTGTTTCAAAACATCTATGCGTCTTTCGGGACGCGTGTGCCTGAACCTTATTCAGCACGACACGAAGCACCTGCTTCCTTCGGGACCACGTCTCCAACACCACGAGGGCTCTCCACCTCCTGCTGCCGCTGCGAGCGCCGCTCATACGTACGAGCTGGCTGCTGCAGCCACTGGCCAGATCCTGAGCTCAACTACTGACCTGTTTGCTTCCCACTCTAGTGGGAGGCGCCCAGCGCCTGGCGACGCTGTCGCACGCCATGGTGGCGCTTCGGCACAGGATGTGCCCGGTCGTAGGCGTCCACGACGTCAGGGCAATCTTGCCGGAGGACAACCTCAAACACTTATGAGTTCTGTGAGTGAAGGTGACCCCTCCACTTCACAAAGTACTGGGTACGACGCTGACGTCTACGCCGCACCTCAAAGCATTCCACTTGATAGTGGAGCTCACCGTGCCCACCGAGCAGAGTAGGAAAAGGCCTTGCTTCGGCTGAGTTCTCGCGGGGAGAGTCAGCACTTGCCGGAACGGCATCTGCGTCCATACGACGACGGTGTTCACGACGCGAACGTTCACGTTCACCGCCCGTCGGCCGATCTCGAAGAGATGCTCCAGGTTACAGTCACCACAGGTGACTCACAACCAGGTCCCGGGCCTTGAACGTCCAATCGCTCGGCTGAACGTTCAGCTTGCCTTGCTCCTGCGGCTCGAGCACTACCCCATCGGTCTGCGGATGGTCCGCTGTGGACATGTCCAAACGGGTGCCGAGCACTTTGAAGAGGGACGTCCAGAACTTCGCAATGAAGCGTGGGTTTCGATCCGAGATAAATGCCTCAGGCAAGCCATGTTGGCGAAAGACTTGGTCTAAAAACAGACAAGCTGTACCTTTACCACCAATGGTGTCCGACACCGCCGCTAAATGAGCCATCTTGCTCAATCGGTCTACAAAGACCGCGATACCCGTTTTGCCCGCCTTATCCTTGGGAAGGACAAACACAAAGTCCATACTCATGGATTGTCAACATCCCTTGGGGGCAGGCAAACCAATGGCGCTGCCATGATCGGCGCGGATTTTGTCCGTTGACACGTCTCACACGTGCGTACATAGGTGCCGACTCACTTATACATCTTGAGCCACCAGTACATCGAGCTCACCGAGCCATAGGTCTTCTCCCGACCTAAGTGTCCGCCCACGGGCGTATCATGAACATCATAGAGGACTCGATACCTAAGATCCTCATCACGAGGAACGACTACACGAGGGTTATCCTCAAAGTCGGTGTTGTAATACAGCAGGCCGCCATCGAGCGAGTATCGATGCAGCCTCGCCCGTAAGCGCCCAGAAAATTCCTTGTCAGAGTCTTTCAGCTCTTCGCTCCTAAGATCTTGTAGCAGCGCTACGCACATGTCGTCCTGTGCATACGCTCCGCGTATCAAGTCAGACACTGACGATGTCACAGTCGTGGCATGAACTAATTCGTAGTCCGGCCTGCGCGAGAGCGCATCAGCCACTACATTAAGCCACCCCGGCTTGTACTTCACCGCAAAGTTGTACTCGGCAAAGAAGGAAGGCCATCTTGTCATTCTCTGAGAAAGATGAGGCGACTATGTCGCAGTGCGTAGCGACGCATGATCAGTAAAGATCACAAAAGGCTTAGAGCCTAGCAGGTGTACCCTATATTTGACTAGTGCATATTTCATTGCAAGAAGCTCTATGTCATGAGCTGGATAGATCTTCTCTGCAGCTTTGAGCTGGCGAGACTCAAACGCAATCACGCGTTCACACCCTTCGGTGTCTGCTTTTAGTAAAGCACAACCGATTGCAAAATCGGAGGCGTCACAGACGACGCTAAGCGGACGATCTGGGTTCGGTAGCGCAAGGATCGGAGCCTGGAGGAGGCTCTCCTTCACAGTCTCAAAGGCTCCGTCGTGCTCGACATTCTAGCACCATGGTGCGTCCTTCTAAAAGAGATCTGATAATGGCCGAGCCATCTCCGCGTAGTTCGAGCTTTACTTGTGCAAGTAATTGGCTAAGCCTAGCCACTTGCGTAAGTCTTTTTGATTCTTGAAAACCGTCCAGTCTACGATAACCTTGACTTTGGCAGGATCTGATCGTATGCTACGCTTCCTAATGAGGACCCGAGAAAAGGTATCTCATCCGCGCCAAAGACGAACTTGTCCCAGTTGGCATACGACTTAATGGTGCGCATTCACTAGAGCACCGCTCGCAATTGGTCAATGTGGTTCTCCACGTCAGACCTTTCGTGCTCAGCACGACTATGGACGAATATATAGTCAAAGTACACCTGAGCGTACGCCCGGTGGGGCCTAAACAACTGCGTCACAAGCCGATTAAACGTTGCTGGTGCGTTCGACAGCCGCTGGGGCATGACCAGCCACTCACAGAGCATACCGCTCGGAGTACGCACCGCTGTCAGCGGAATGTCGCTCGTTCTCATAAGGAATTGGTAGTATCCATCGACCAAGTCGAGTGCGCTGTACAACGTATATCCTACTATGTTGTTCTCCCGAATATCCTTTCGAGTAATTGGCGGTTGCGCTTGAATGGCGGCCGCATTCAGCTTGTTGAAAGAATGAGCAATGTGTTACTTGCCGTTATGCTTTCTGAAACAGAACGTGGGTGCTGAGAGCGGATCCTTACTCTCACGCACCATCCCTGCCTCGTGTTTTACACGGAAGAATGCGTCAATGACGTCACACTGCTCTAAGGCCATTGCCTTGTTACGCAGTATTTGGTTCCAGGAACCAGGTCAATCTCATGACACACGCCTCGATCCGGAGGCAGGCCCGTCGGTGGGTCTTTCGAGACAGCGTCTCCATACTCCTTCACCCCAGGGTAGAAGGGATCCGAAGGATCTTCTAGGATCGCCGATCTACTTCTTGCGCTCAGCGCCTTCTTGGTGTACTCTAGAACCGCGTCGTCAACGACGGGTGAGGTGTTCAACTCCTCCTCAGGTCCCAGCAGGACTACCTCGGCTAGCTCGCCTGCCTTCAAGGCTTTGCCAAACTCGGCAATGGACATCTCGTCCATCTGTAGCAGAGCGTCTACAGCGGGCAGAATGTCAAGGCTGATGTCACCTTCGACCTTCCCCGTCACTCCGCGCATGAGTGTGTACTGCTGTTCACAGCAATCACGTGGAGCCTCACCGCTTGTAACGTTGAGCACCTCGTCCAGCGTCGAAGACGTCACAGACGCCCTGCGTCGTCTGCTCCTCTCCCCCCGCGACCGATCCTGGCCGGATGAGGGCGGTGTGACGACATCTCCATCACCTACCACCGGGTGCAGCAGCACCATCACTCCTCGAAGAGGATACAGTGTCTCGCAAGACACTCGGCTGAGAGTTAAGAGGTCCTTGACCCTCATACAGTGAACTAGGTGTCACTGCACCTGCATCGCCTGGGCCGCACCCATGATGCCTCGACTCGAAGTCGACCGCACCCCTCGGGCCACGCAGCGGTAGATCACCGACCAGATCCGTACCACTTAGTGGATTACGCGCCACTCCGCGTTCGTCCTCACCAGGACCCAGCAGTTGGTCATTGACCTGACCTGTACCGCTCAGCGGATAACGTGCCGCATTACGTACGCCCTTAGGACAAACAGCAACCTTTATTGATCTTGCCCCCTTCCTTGACTGATCGAATCCCTTTTCCTGAGGTATGACACTTCCAGTATCCACGTGACTCTCCTATTGACAGGTCCATGGATCCCACCACCCCCGATCATCGGGATTTTTTTCCCCGATAGACCCGGAGAGGATCGGAGATGATCCCATGTTCGGTGAGCTCAACCATTGGTCATGTTTCAGCTGCTTTCAAAATACTCGGGCTTCACGTAATCGTAGATCCAAGGTCGAGGCGGCTTTGGATCTGGAAAACGCATTTATTTGGTGAAGACTGAAGAACTTGAAACCTGACATTTCGTGTGGTCCGTGCGACTTGGTACCTTGTTTTAACGACTTGTTCACAAATGCATAAATGCAATACCTAGATCGTATGGCTCGTACCGGATTCCAACCCGGCGAGCGTCCTAGTTTACCATCTCTTCTGTTTCCGCACGAAACAGTCCGCTATAATTAGCGGGTAAAACCGCATTTATGCCTGCTAATTACGCGCTTTGCTGCTCGTAAGCAAATAACACACACTTCGATATTATGGTGTTGGCTTATAAAGACACTTCCGAGAAGCCCGAGCCATGTGACGTCGTTTGTGACTTCTGACACAGCATAACTAAAAATGGTTATCCCAGCGCCGAAGTGATCGGTTGCATCGTTAAAGATTAACAGGCAGTCCGACGGCAAATGATGACAGTCTACAGCATTCCTGATGCTACGGCTCGCATTGCTTTGGAAAAGAGGTGTTGTTGACATACTTACTGTGATTGGTCCCAAGTTGGTTCCTCGACGTGGTATCCAATGGGCGAAACACACTATTTGCGCCAAATGCGTTGTAGTTAGGATCCAGTACACTTGCGTCAAGTGCAAGAAGCCGTGGGGTGGTGGAGGAGGGGAAGGGGGAGTGGTGTTGGGGGGGGGGGGGATCTGTCGCGCTACCTGGTTGGAACGGTACAATATCGGCACATGGAATGTCTACGGACTTGGCAGCGGCCTTGTTCTTGAAGTCAAAAAATTCTATTGAAAGGTTCAATAGAAAACTAAACAGAGGATCCTTGACACCCCACCTAAACATGGCCACGTTCGTCAGCGTGATATGGGACATCTCTCAAGATAACGTTGTCGGTTGACTAACGTGGCACAGGGTCAACGTTGTAAAAGGAATAAGATCACTGCGAAGCTAAAGAAGTAGCGA